ACCATTACCGGACTGTTTTAAAGCTGAAATTGACCATTTTTGAGATTTTTCATTTTTTGGAAAATTTGAAAATCTCCAAAACAGTCAATTTCAGCTCTAAAACAGTCTGAAAATGATCTAAAAAGGCAGCAAAAAAGATTTGCCACCGAGTGGAATCGAACTCTAGTCGTCAGATTGGTAGTGGAGTTTGGCGAAATTCTCACTGAGCCATTTTTGTATTTTTCGGAAAATTGCTCAAAAACACTAGAAAAGTGGAATTTTCAGAGTTAACAAACAATAGTGTTTTTTTGTTCTGAAAATCGAATTTTCAACGATTTTTAAAAATAGGTTTTAGCTCAGATTTTAGCCATTTCAAGCGTACCTACCTTCAAATAAAGAGCCTGTGGTGAGCTTGGGAACATTGTGATCGCCTGTTCGATAACTTTAGTCAAATCCGCATGTCGTCCCTCAGCAATATACAATTCCGCCAGACACATCCATACATCCGCTTGGGTTCGGAACTTTGACCAGGCGTCACCAATGGAATTGTTCAGAGAATCGGAGTTGGTGGATGGCGCAGCGCCAGCTTCAGACGCAGCTGTTCCTACGATTGATTCGGCGACTGGAAAACGGTTTTTTTTTCTTAAATTAAATGATGGGAAAATGTGCCAAAATGAAGGTGGCCAAGAAATCGCACTCTGGCGGCCTAGGAAACCAGAACTACCTGATAGATCTACAGTAGATGTGTTCCCGGGAATCGCACTGATCACGGGAAGTGTAGAAGCTGGAAAACTTCCGATGAGTGGAGTCGTGGCCAGTGGTGTGGACAGCTCTCGCCCGAGAGATGGTGTTCCTGAAAACACTGGGAAACGGGTTACGGTACTTTCAGAATTTTGAGGAAAGAGACCAACCAGTCTTCTGACTTCCACCAATCGTCTCCGTGCCATTTATCGTTCTCTGCGACCGTTCCTCATCCAAAATGCCCCCAGAATATGCCAATTGTTGCTGTACCGTCGGTTGTTTCTTCCAAAAGTCCAGAAGATGTGTACACGTGTCTAGGGATTCTTCGATTCGTCCGAATTTCGTTTCAATGTGCAAACGGAGCACCATAAGGCCGTAGTTGTGCTCAAACTCTGCTAGAGCGTTGATGACGAGCTCTAGGGCGCCTGGAAATTTTCATAAATGCCTAGAAATACAAGCTACTGTTTTTGTATTCAAAAATCGCCTCAAACCTACCTGAAACCATCGAAAATCGGTTAAAAATGAGTTAAAATGAGCTATATACGTTGATGGCCTAGGAAACCAGATCTCGACCATGAAATTTGTATATTTAGATTCAGCAATCCAAGAGCTTTCCAACGAACCTACTTATCACTAGATCAGACCAAATTGAAACAGTGGCCGAGTTTTTAGAACTTCTAGGCCACCTAGCTTTGATCTGCCAAAACCGTACCTTTCAAATCTCCGTAAGCCGTAAAAATCAACGCCAACAACATAATAGCACCAGGTTGGTCTCCATTCAACGCTAAACTTCTCGAGCAACGATCTTTGGCCGATTCCAGATCTCTGGAGACCGCATGGAAATAAGCGGCGTAGTAGAGGGAGAGATAGTCGTGTGGATCGTGTCCGACGCATTCTTCGATGAGGTGCACCGTTTTTGATAGCTGCGTTCTTTTCAGATCCCATGATGGCTCTTCGGAGGCGCGGAATCTGGAAATTTTGGGTATTTCTAGCTCAAAAATTATAGCTCCAAATTTGAAACTAAAAAATGATAGCTCGAAAGTATCGTTCAAATTTGAAGCTCAAAAATTATAGCTCAAAAATTTTTCAAAAATTGTGGAGCTTTTTATTTTAGAGCTATAATTTCTGAGCTATAATTTTTGAGCTTCAATTTTTGAGCTATAATTATCGAGCTATAGTTTTTGAGCTATGATTTCGGAGCTTCAATTTGTTAAGCTACAATTTTTGAGCTATAATTATCGAGCTATAATTTTTGTGCTATAATTTTTGAGCTATAATTTTTGAGCTATAATTTTTGAGCTTCAATTTTTGAGCTATAATTATCGAGCTATAAGTTTTGAGCTTTAATTTTTGAGCTATAATTTTTGAGCTTCAATTTTTGAACTATAATCTTGAGCTATAAAATTTGAGATGTATTTTGGAACTATTTTTTAAAGATATTTTTTTTGAGCTCTAATTTTTGAGCTATAATTTTTGAGCTATAAATTTTTAACTATAATTTCGGAGCTATAATTTTAAAGCTATAATTTCGGAGCTATAACTTTTCAGCTATAATTTTTGAGCTATAATTTTGGAGCTCTAATTTTGAAGCTTCAATTTTGGAGCGATTTTTCCTCACCCAAAAGCAATGGCATGCAACAATTGACATCTTGACTTCAAAAACGATAATTGTCCCTCTTTAGTACATAATTCTACAGCTTTGGCTGCGTATTCAATGGCTGAAATCACCAAAAATTCAACTTTTTGATTAAAACATCCCAAAATTACCCGGCTCATAATTCCCAAATCTCTCAATCAGGACCTGGGAAATCATCATATATTCACTGATAACAGATAGTGCACATGACGGGTTATTCGTCAATTTCAACGATGAAAACATGGCGGCATCTGGTGACGTTGGTCTTGGATTCTGATGTTTTGGAGTTGACGATGTAGAAGAAGACGTTGATGAGGAGGCGGATAATGTGGCGTGAGAATCTGAAGACGTGGGATTCAGGGATTCTGAAGCGATCGTGGAGGCTAGAATCGATTGTTCGAAGACGCGAATAGCACGAGAGAATCGGCCACAGCAGATCGCAGACAGGGCGAATTGTTGCCTGAAATTAAAAATATATTGGCTCGACTGCTCCGATTATCGACCACCAAGCAAGATGGACGGAAAGACTCAGACTTGTATTCAGGTGAGAATTTGAATTTTTATGAAAAATATTCTTTTTTCATCATTAATTTCAAAATTCTGATTTTCAGAACTGTGTGAATCGCATGATCGACGCCAGCAACTTCATGGTCGAGCACTTGTCCAAAATGAACGGAGGAAGCGCTTAAATCCTGTTCTCTTTTAAACTTTTTTGTTATTTGTTTCGCCTAGGTTCTCATAAACAGGTTTTTGTTCTTAAAAATAACTTTCGAGGGGAAAAAGTAATTGGAAACTTATGTAAATATCTAATTTTCTGAAAAAAAAGCTGAAGAATATTCTGAAAAAAAAACACGTCCAGATTCTGAACTTCAGAACATGAGTAAACTGAAAGGAAGCCGTCTGGAGGCGGAGGTCGATCGGGTTAGAGCTGATGCCAACTGGAAACGCCTCTCGGAGCTTCTCCCATCAG